ATAAACTAGTTTTAATTAAGAAAGGGCTTGTATCACTGAAGTTTCTTGGAAAGAATTTCTACAGAAAATTAACAGACAAGCAGATATGTAACAATAGGTTTGATATTATTAACTTTTGATATAGTGTGTATATCTTCCCGAAATGTGGCAGTCTTTCAGCAAACAAGTCTTTTACGTGCAAAAAAATCATATTTTATAATGAAGTATTTTTTAATAAACTAAAAATAGATTTCTCCTAGAATATCTCGCGTATTTGTTTTGAATAATCTATGTGCATAGTGATATTCATATTAATATTAAAAATACTTGTCTTCATTTCAAAAACCTCAAATTTCATTTATGTAATCTCTAAAACCTTATAATTAAATTTCAAGTGTTTGTTTTCAGTAAAGCTTTATATTTTATTGGTAATTATCTGTACCCTAACTCTACCCCCCACCCACAAAAAAAGATTAAATAAATCTAAATTACCCCCCATTTCCTTCTAGAATGACTTCAAATGTAGCATGAAACTACATTTGTTTATCCTAAGTAGCTTTAAACTTGTAACAGTATACATCTATTTATAATTAATTTTTATTGTTTTATTGTCCTTTGAACTATGTCTAACTACTATTCGTGCCATTATAAGTTGTAAATCACTTGGAGAATGTGCAGCTCACGTGTGTACCTCAAGAAATATTTTTATTATATTATTATTATTGTTTAATTTACTTAACATAACTTTAACTAACCTAAAGTGATCCCTATTTTTACATTTTAGTTAATTTTATAATAATAATAAATAAAGAATAAACATGAAAAACAAAGTTGTATTACAAGTGAATTTGACTATTCTGTGTTCAGAACACAACTTAAAAGAATACATCATTTGATAGTTGAAAACCTCGGCTTTCTATTGATTATAGGTAAAATATAAGTACATGTAAGAGAGGACTATTAACAAATCCTGAAAGAGAGGATGTGACAAGTAGGCATGACAAGTGGGTCTGACTTTTTAGTTTTTGAAGCTGTAAACAAATAAGATTGAAGGCTATAAAAATTAAACTTTGTATTAGTAATATCTATATATAATGAATAATTTACTTTACAGTAAATTGTTTTAGTTTAGCTTTATTGAAAGGTTAATTATGAAGGCAGAAAGATTATGATTTTAAAGGATAATGAGAACAATCAGTTGATTAAGCTATAAAGAGAAATCTCTATTCAACTGATCAAATTATATAAAAATTAATTGCCATTCAGTGCATGCACTTTGAGAAACAGTATATTTTATGTTTTAGGATTTGTGTTTTGACGTATTTTTAAAGTACTGATGTTGTTATTTTCTAAAATCTTTACACTTGACAGATTTTTTCCTTGGCAAGTCTGTCATGCAATAAGTATTATCATCCCAATATAAGTAAAGCTATTTAACCTTTCCATTATGGGCTGGGTTGAATCCACCCAGCTTGTAACCACGAAAGTATCCATGCAAGTAATTATACTGTGATTTTTGATAATGTTTGCACATCTTTACAAAGTTTTGCAGGTTATTAGTAAACAATACAAGGTTTTCATAAACAAAATATCAGGTTTTTTAATCAAAGATTTTCTCGTAAACTTTTTCTTTCAGAATGTTGACTATCCAGCATTTTCTGAACAGAGAATCGTCAGTTGCTCTGTTAGTACAAGCTTCATTCCCACGGAAAACATATTAACTAGCTTGAATGAATTCGTAATTGCTCTTTTTGTATAGTTAGAAATCCAGAAAAATTGTGATAGTTATGGGACATTATCCGCTTTTTGCATGTTATTATTCTATGTTCTTTGGTGAATTATGTAATTAAATAAAAAACATTTAGTGCATTACTAACATTAGTATAAAAAAGTAGGGTTAAGTGTTATCAACAAGAGCAAAAAAAGAAGACATGGGTAAGTAGTTTATTTCTTGTTTTTCATGTGTATTCTTTATTAATTATTATAAAAGTAACTAAAATGTAAAAAGAGAAATCTGTTTAGGTTAGATAAAGTTAGATTATGTAAAATATATAATAATAATGTTTTATGAGGCATGCATGTGAGCAGCTCAGAGTATCTTGTGGGTAATGTAATTCAATAGCGTAACGTGAGCTCCATGTTCCCCAAGTGATTTACAATTTATAATGGCGTGTATAGTAGTTAGACCCGGTTAAAAGGTCAATAAAACAATAAAATTTAATTATAAATAGATGTATAATGTTACAACTTTAAATCTACTTAGGATAAACAAATGTAGTTTCATGTTACAATTTAAAGTCATTCTAGAAAAAAAAAAAGGGCAATTTAGACTTATTTCGATTTATATTTTGACCAGCCTTGTATAGAATTTAGGAAGAGAAAATAATAGATCAAATACGAAGCTTTAATGAAAACAAACATTTGAAATGTATTTAAGAGGTTTTATAGATTACGCAAATGAAACTTGAGATCTTTGAGATGAAGAAAAGTATTTTTAATCTTAACAAGAAAATAATTTTTCACTCGGACTAGTAAAAAAAGACTGGATATATTCATGGACAAATTTTTTTTAGTTTATTAAAAATACTGATTTTTTTTGTATGCAAGAAACTTATAATATATAATGAAAGTCTGCCAAATTTTGTGTAGATAGATATACATACTATATTAAAAGTTAGTAGTATCAAAACTATAATGACTTTAAACGAGTTAAAAGTGGTCACGTGGTCAGTCAATTTGACCCAATGTCAAAAGAGTTAAAGGCAAAATCCTCAGAGGTATGCAGAAACATTTGAAACTTTTGTTAATTCTTCTTTGCAATTTACACTAAATAAATGTTACAAAATAACAATATCAATTGTAAAATAATTTTGACTAAAATTTGTTGAAATAAAGTTTGCATGATTATTTGTACTTAAATTCTGAAATTTAACAACTGAAGGGTGTCCACTTGTTTGGATAAGGTTAAACAACATGATCAGTCCACTGAACCTACCCCATACTGAAGAAGCAATGTTGACTATAATTCTGATTTCACTGGATGTATCTTCATGAAATTTAGCAATTGTTTAGTCAAAATGTAGAAAAAATCAGATGTATTCATAAGTATTGTTTCTGTTTGTGAAATGATGATGTTAATCTGACTTGCATAAGTTTGAGTGCAAAATGATGTTAATGTAAAGAAGAAAAATACTTTTGTTCATTGTACAGTTTGTGTAACTTCTGAAATACATATCTACAGTTTTTACTGTATCTCTATACACTGTATCTAAATCAGCAATACAGGGTAAAATGAGTAGTTTGG